AATTGCAGTTATTAACATTATTGTTCAGAGGCCGATGGAAAAATGAGATCTGCGAGTACGAGGTGACTGCAGGCAGATGTCAGGCTTGCAGGCTCACATGTGGACATCCATTAGTTTTTAAAGGAGCCTGTTCTACTTTCCCCTTTCTGTCAAACTGTTCTAGTGGTGGTCTGTGTGAAACATGGCTGCAGATTCAAAGAGTGAGGTCAGTGTGAAGCCACCAAGAGTTCAGGTTGCTGTAAATACTTAGTTTATCCCTGAGGTGGTCCCCTCGGGGGCTCAACAACAGGTAGCCCAGCCCACCTGTTGGTGGAAACCTTTGGTTTTGTCTCAAAGGGGGGGGGAGCTAACAGACAGGACTGCATCAACACATCAGCGCTGGGTATGAGATACAAATCTTTAGCTGTGCACTCCGGAGTCTGAACGAGCCACTGCTGGTCATTTTTACGTAAGCTGTCTCACCAGCTGCGTCTGCAGAGCGCTCACTTTCAACGAGGCGTTCGTGGACAGGCATGCAGAAATATTTCTGACATCAAACATGCTGGCTCTGTGGTCGGCACTATTATTAGGACAGCTTCAGATGTTCAGATGGATATTTGTCTGAAGTGTCAAAGACAAAGCATCAGGAAATGGTTAGCCGAGGTTAATTCTGATCATATGTGAACATGAAACGCACGACTTATGGTTTTCAAATTGATACCATAAGTGTGTCGAAGTTTCCTGAGAGGGAGTTAAAACCACCGGTGAGTCTGCTGGAGCTCTGTCGTCCCTGTCGTTTTTTCACTTCTGTGTTGGTTTTATGTTTTTCAGCCCAACACGATGCTGCTTTATTCACTGTCTTGTTAATGACATTGACTTGGTTGAGGTCGGTATCTTTACTAGTTCACTGCAGTTTTGTGTGTTTGTTTAATTTTTTTAGTTTTGTTTCATTAATAATATTTAATATAATAATGGATTGGATTTATATAGCGCTTTTCCACTATTGAATGAATTCCACTATTCATTCACTCTCACATTCACTCACTGGTGGAGGCAGCTACAGTTGTAGCCACAGCTGTCCTGGGGCAGACTGACAGAAGTGAGGCTGCCATATCGCACCATCGGCCCCTCTGGCCAACACTAGTAGGCGGTAGGTGAAGTGTCTTGCCCAAGGACACAACGACCAGGACAGAGAGGCCGGGGATCGAACCAGCGACCTTCCGGTTACAGATACGCTTCCCAACCCCCTGAGCCACGGTCACCATTGCGGTGAAGTTACAGGATGTATAGCTCAGTGCCTCTCACTACACCATCCAGGTCATGTTCTTGTAGTTGAGGTTGTTTCATACAGGAACTTATAGATATAAATGCATTTTTTAACATTTAATTAAAAACACTTAATGAATTAATTTGCCGGTTAAATTGTGGAAAACAAGAATCAGGATTCTTGTTTTTTCATCACCTGCATGAAATGGTATCTTGTGCTGTGGAAGCTGTCCCGTATCCTGGGAAGCTAATGGTACGTTCCCAAACTGGTGAACTGTTGCTCTAAGAACGTGTGTGCAGAGCTGTGGTGCTGGTTTAATAACTCTTTATTCTGTCATCTTTCAGCTCCTACGTTTTTGCCCTCCACTGCAATGAACCCCCAATTTCAGCCCAGCTCCTCGCCTTCCTAAGAGTGTTCTGCATGACGGAGGGTAAGGCGCCGACACTTCCCAAAGTGAGATCTCTGGTTCAAGTTGAGATGAACCCAGATGACCTTTGGAGCCTGCCTCTTACTTCTGTGCTCCTGCATACACTAACATGTGTGTCATTTCAGATGAACTAAAGTACTACCTGCTCGGAGAGCGTGCCATCAATAAGATCTTCACCCTGGGCAACAGCGAGTTCCCTGTGAGCTGGGAGAACGAGATCAAGTTGTGGACATTCCTCGAGACTCGGGCTGCTCTTCTACTCAAGACATACAAGACCACGTCAGAGGTCAGCGTGGTGTTTCGGTTAAAGCTTCTCCGTGTTTCAAAGGCAGAAATATTTCCTGTGCAGCCTTCTGACGTGACTTACACGCCTGTTAAAGTGTATTTTTATTCTCCTGTTTTTCAGGAGGACCGCTCCATGCTGGAGAAGCCTGATCTGTCTCTTCATTCCCGCATGGCGATCCAACTGCGCCTGGCGGAGAAGCAGATCCTAGAGAAGGCGCTGGCTTGTGGCCGAGCCAAACGTCTGTGTTTCCAGAAAAAGCTGGAGGAGGGGGCGTCGCTGCCTTGTTATGAGGAGAGCGATATCGCTTTGCTGGAGAATACTGAAGCGGATGCTAAACTTCCAGTTATCCTGCGTAAGGTGGAGGAAGGCCAGGAGATCCAGGTGGATGAGGATAGTCCTCTGCTGAATGGGATGAAGGTGGTGTACGGGACTAATGCAGAGGATGGAGAACGAGATCAGGACGATGATGTCAGCACAGATGTTGACTCTGCTTTGGCCTCGATGGGAAGTTCGAGCCAAAGGGAAGAAGCGAACCTAAGTGCCAGTCGAACTGAAGACGAAGCCAAAGAGAACTCTGTTTAAATGATTCCAGTTACTGCCACACTCCACGCTGTTTATTTATTTTTGTGTCTCTTCAAGGACTCAGAAAAATAGCTGAAAAAAGAAATTGAATTAAAAGTCATGGAACTTCTGTGTGTGTTCATCTAGTGTGGCTTTGTTAGTGCTCGACGGCCTTCCAGGCTTCTATGCAGGAGATATTTTTATTACACTGGAGTTTTAGTTACCTTTGAAACACAGGTGTAAACTGAAAGTGCGAACACACCTCGAGGCCACTGCTGATTCGGCACCGTTTAAAATCGAACAGGTTCTAGAAAAGGAGGAAAAGGTTTTAGCTGAATATCTCTGCAAAGCCCAAATCTCCCTGTGATGAATGTGTTGGTTTGTGTGTGCACCACTCTGTCCGCAGAGTGCTCTGCAGCTGAGTCACAGCTGTTCACAATAACACGCTCAGTTTTGCATTGGAATATTATTTAGCATTTTAAGAAGTAACTAAGTAATCTGTAGCTGCACTGATTAGGAGTAGTTGTGGCCACAGTGAGACTACACGATGAAGCCGTACAGCAGCAGCGACTCGGCGAGACGGAGGGAACGCCTTCGGAAGCTTTTTCTTCACCCGCCTTAAAAATGTGCTCGTCCAATCACTGACATGTGACGCGTGGAAACGAAGAAGTGTGTCGTCCTCTAGGTCGGCATTGATTGAAGGAGTGGCCTCAGTAACTGTGTCTGCGCTGGTCACGACTGGAAGCCTGACAGGCCTGCAGTGTAACAGTGTGGACGTCGGGGCTTACCCCACCGGTGATCTCAAGCTGACTGAACGTGCAGCTCTGCAGATCTTACAGGATGCAGACCGAGGCCTCAGAACCTGTTTGACTGAATCGTTCTGGATAAACGCTGCACCAAAGATGTTGGACGTTACCTAGGAACTTCTTTGCATCAAGCTCTGGCAATTGTATCTTATTTTCAACATGTCTTCCTCATTTCTTGGTTCCTATTAAAAATTAAAGCACAGACAGTTTTTCTCAGTCATTTCTTTGGAAGTGGAAACAGCGCTGTTATAGTTGCAGACTAAACAGCTTGTCAGTGTTTACCACAGAATTGGATTGAAGTTATACCTGTGATGGAGAGACCAACAGGACACGCCCACTTTGTTAAAGAAATACACGCTACTACAAAGAGTTTTGAACAATATTGGCTCCTCTCTGATCCAGATTAGCCTCAGGTTAAAGTCAGCAGAGCTAAAGAGAGGATCAGCCTGACACTGGAGAAACAGACCGATGAGCTGGTTAGTGGCAAATTTCAAAAAGCAAAGGCACCATTCTTTCTGAAAGCTAAAGTAACCCTGCAAAATATGCATTCATATACTCGGGGATCCCACCCAAGTTTATATTTAGCATCAAACACAGTTAAGGGAGCAGATGATGTGTGCCGCCGGCATCCTGGGAGGCTTTGTGCCGTTAAAGCCTAAATAAATTCAAACCTCATCATTAAAGATGTTCTTTATATGATCAAAGATAACCATGACACTCACGCCCATGATGGATATATGTAACCTGCTGACCACAGCTGTATCTGAAAGACTTGAGCTCCACTGTGTACATGCACTACAGTTGGTATGTTGTGAGCCTGCGAGACAATGAGCAGCAGACCCCTTTGAAATGTGTTGATTGGGCATTTCCAGCTTTTTTTCTGAGTCACTCATCCTGTCAGCTCAACAGAAGTCTGGATTTAGAGGACGGGCGTAGCCGTCATGATGTTGCCCACTGGTTGGGGAACTCTGCCTTTGGAGTTCTTTAGCTTTACATTTGTTTCCATCATGATTTTCTAGAAACTGAAGTGAAAATGTTGGCGTAGGGTGGGGTGCTGAGTTATCGCCTTTAGTTGGTTTGTTTAGTCTCCTGCAGTCACTAATTGTACAGGTGCACAAATGTCTGCTAATCAGCGCCAAACAGATCAGATTCTAGAATCTAACAGAAACTGAAACAAACCTTTTGGGTTAAATAAACTGCTCCATCAGCAGAAACACTGTGGAGAGGGTCCAGTGACTGATATCAGTCGAGGTGAAGCAATTGGTAAATGGACACAACTTCACGCTCCAATGGATGCATCACAGAGCAGCTTCGGGTTGGGATTTCGCCCAAGGATATTCGGCATGCAGACTGGAGCAGCCGGGGATCGAACCACCAACCGTCCGATTAGCAGGTGACCTGCCAGCCTGATTCTATCGGTCAAACTGGCCGTGCTCCTAACTTGTTGAATACCAACTTTGGAGCAGCTGCAAGTGTCCAGAAGTTGATCTAATGAGCTGTAACAGTTATGAAGAGTGAGATTAGCTATAAAACAGCTGTTTCAGGCTATAAACATCATTTTCTTCGCTGTAGCACCAACCTTCAACATTGAGCTTCCACAACAGTTCCTAATCCTGTTTAAATGGCCAACTTTGCAATAAAATAAAAATCATATTCATGGTACAAAAACTGATTTTGGTCTCCGTGGAGGGTTCGCCTCTTCAAAGCAACTGTGTGGTCGGTGAATACATTGATTTTTATGAATAACAGGACAAATACACTGGGATGAAAAATGAAGCCAACGTGTTCATGCCACAAACTCCAGTAATGCGCGGTCACATTACTGCACCTGTGTGTCTGCTGCTGTGTTGAGCTACATTTAATGGAACTGACCAATAATATCGACTGCTGTGAGGTACAGAGAGTCCAAGACACTTTTGCAGTTGGTGCAGTTTTTATTTTATTGGTGTGCTTTTTAGCACTGATTGCATTTCTGTGTGTATATGCATTGCACTTGTACAGCGTATGAATTTGGTTTGCTACAGGAAGCACAGCTTATAAAATGCTAACACTGAGTCCAGAGACCAGTGGTTGTCACATGTCTTTTAACACTGGAGTCTGTAAGGATACGAGCTTGTGGAGACAGTAGAGGACCAGAGGTTTTTGAGCTTGACTGAATTTGTTAGCTAATATATAAAATGAACAGAAGCAGATTTATTTATCATATTTACAGCTATTTATATGTACTGTCTGCTATTGTAATGATGTGTTGTGGCTGGTTGAGGGTGGGAGAGCTCAGTCCCGGCTTCACCCATAGGCTCAACTAATCGTCTCCTGCCTGGGTATGTTGTTTTCAATCTGAGCCACACTGCTCATCCTTTACACAGGAAGGGAAACACCGTCATCATCATCCAGGAATCACAAATTAAACTTCATTTCTCGCCTCTTGTGTGGAATAGTGTTCTTCCTCCAGCATCATCTTCTCCACAGACACGGTCAGCAACTCCTCAGTTTGCTTGTGTTGTCTCTCTTTCCTTGCCCCTGGATATATCAGGAATTCATAAAAGTAGCATTATCTTGAATCATT